ATTCTTTGATTTCATATGCCCTAAACTTTTGAAATTCAGATGATCAAATCTTTTGTGCCATAACTCACTCTCCTTGACAACACATGTTGCACTAAGACATTCAGAGTCTGCATTTCTAACATTCACCTTGAATGTTCTGTTCCTTCCCTGTTCTGACTCCATAATCAGCTACTGATTACAGTCATACAGCTTCAGAAGATTGTCCTTCATGGTAACTGAAAAACCTTTCTCAACTAGTTATCCCACACTCATCAGATTGCTTTTCATGCCAGGTACATACCAAACATTCTGGATCATTGTTGCTTTCCCATTATTTAGAATGATTCTAACATTTCCCATACCTTCTGCTTTGAGGTATTTATCATCAACACATTTGATCTTTGTACTCTTCCCAGAGTCAAAATCAACCAACCACTTCTTGTTTCCAGTAAGATGGTTTGAACACCCTGTGTCCATATACCACCATTCTGATGAATTTAGATCATCAGGTTCAGAAGCCAACAATAGTACAAGTTCATCATCAGAATCTCTTCTTGCTATATTTGCTTCTCCTGACTTCCTTTCTTTGTTGGACCAACAATCTCTGGCATAGTGACCAAAGTTCTTGCAACAATAACACTGAACATTCTTCTTGTCAGACTTCTCCTTTCCCTTCTGGACATTCTTCTTCCTATCAGAATTTGAAGCTTCTGACTTTTGACCACCATTAGTTTTCTTCCTGGCTTCTGACCATGTCTGCTTCTGATGCTTCTTACCATAAGTTACCTTCAAATCTTGCTGCTCTACTTCTCTCTCAGAAGTTCTTACAGTCATACGCAACTCATGTGCCTCTAGACTACTTTGCAGCTCTTTAACTCTCATGGTGCTCAGATCTTTGAAATGTTCAATTGCTACAACAATGTAATCAAACTGAGAAGTTAAAAATCTTAAGATCTTCGCAATAATTACTTGTTCAGATAGAGTTTCTTCACAAGCTTTCATCTCATTAGTGATCATAATCACTCTAGAGATGTATTCAGAAACCTTCTCATTGTCCTTCATGTTGAGATTCTCATATTGCTTTCTGAGAGACTGAAGCTTCATCTTCTTCACTGATGTGTCACCACCGTAACATCTGACCAGTGTATCCCACGCAACCTTTTCTATTTCAAAATTAGCAATATTCTCAAACATATTCACATCCACACATTTATGGATGTAGAAAAACGCTTTCTGATCTTTCTTCCTCAGCGCCTTCTGTGCTATCTTTTGGGCCTCTGTTACGTCTGCTTCTAATAGATTATAGCCATCAGTGACAAGATCTAACACATATTGAGAACCAAATAACACGTGCATCTGGATCTTCCAACTATTCCAGTTTTTGCCATCAAATACTAGAAGCTTGGAATGAATATCGTCGTCATTTCTATTCATCTTCTACCTTGTGCAATTTACACAGAAACTCAATGAAAAAATAATGTTTCCCAAATTCCAGAGTTTCTAACCAGGAGCTCTAGATACCAATTGTTGGTGCACAAGGAAGATAAAAGGCAAAAGGAATATTTACTTAATAGCTTCAAAAATAAGGATTTACAATGAATTACAATAACCTACTCCACTAGGCTATTTATACACAAAAATTAAATCTAAAATATATCTTCTACAAATATATAAGAGGATCTAAGATATATATCTTCTAACAAAGATATAAACAATCTAAAAGATATTCCTAAATATAAATTAATATCTAATTAAATCTAAATTAATTCTAACACTTCCAAGGAGTTTCACTATAATTACAATTGATTACAAATGCTCAAGCAAACAAGAAAGAGACTTTCAATGCTCAAACACACAAGTAAGAGACTTTTAATTCTCAAGCACATAAGCAATAGAATTCAAATGCTTAAGCACACAAGACAAAGGCTTTTAAAAATCTAACCTAATCATATAAGAGATTGATTGAATATTACACTTGATATACTATCATATGTGTTCACATATTGCAACTCAAAAATACTATTAATACTTATGAATTTCTAAGATATACAAATGATAATAAATTCTAAGTTAAATTTGTGCTTTTGATTTGACAGAGTAACAATTCTTTTGATTGTAAAAGATTAGTTCACTTTCTTCAAGTCTTTAGCTTTTTATATAGAGAGATATAAAAGAGTCATTGAAGAAAATAACTTGCACAAGTGAGTCTTGGAGAAGCTTGATCATAGATGTTGGGATGTTTATTGATATGGATAATGTTGTTGAAGAGACATTTGAATTTCCTTTACTTCAAGAGGAATTATCTATTACATCTCAATTGTCTGTGCAAATTTTTATTTCATCTGCACGTGATCAGAAGAAGACAAAATAATCTATAAGTCTGATAGTGACCTATCAGAGTCTTCTTGATCCTTGCGTTGACCTGCTTCAAAGTATGGATATTTAGATGTTGACTTTATTCATAGTCTGCTCTTCAGAAGTTGAACTCTTCTGAGTCTGAGTCTCTAGAGTCTAAATCTTCAGAGGTTGACTTTCTTCAGACTCTGATCTTCAGAAGTTGATCTCCTTCAGAGTCTGAGTATTTAGATTCTGGTTCTCAAAAGTTGAACTCCTTCAGAGACTGGATCTTCAGAGGTTGACTTTCTTCAGAGTCTGGCCTTCAGATATTGACCTCCTTCAGAGTCTGGTTCTCAGATTCTGATCCTTCAGATTCTAGATCTTTTAAGTTCTCTACAAATTAATTTTTAGTACCATAACTTAGTTTATATCAGAATTTTTAGTCTATGGTCATGCACATTCGAATATATATTGGCAATATCCAATTTTTCTTTAAATACTTTATTATCATCAAAATCTTATAGATATTGTACAAACCAATTTTGTTCCAACAATGATAACTTAGCGGGGAAATGTGTTTTTATCCATATTCTTCTGCAAAATTCATTAAATTTCTCTAAAATTACCTCTAGGTATATATCACGCCTTGATCTTAAATCCCATAGGTTGTTTTTTTCATGGAAGTCTTCACTATTTGATGATGAATGAACATAAATATTGGAACCTTATAAAATATATAATCCACATATTTTAGGTCATTCAGCTATGATCACTTCACCATGATAAATATTCAACACTTCATGTTCAACTCTAGCATAATAGTCTAGATCATCAAATATCTTTATGGATAACAAATTTCACTTGAGCTTTAGAACATACATCACATTGTGAAGAAGAAACTCATGATCATTAAATATTTTAAGTTTTATCATAGCAATACCATGAACCTTGTAGGCCTTATTATCACCAAGGTGAACTACTTCACCTTCCTTTAACTTTAAAGTTTCAATGTATTCTTTTCTTGGACACACATGATAAGAGAAACTAGAACCCATGACCCAATCCTTTTCAGTCTCCAAATTAGACACCACTAATGCACTAACAGTCTCACAATTATCCTAATCGAAAGCAACAACAATCTCAACAGAATATTCATTATCATCCCTCTCAGGACAATCCTTCTTGAAGTGTTCAATTTTTTTTTACAAATAAAGTATTCTAAACTTAATTTTTAAAACCTCTTTGATTTAGACATCACTCTATGCTCACTACATCCTCTCGAGACACTCAAACATTCACCAATATCGACAATCTTCAAATTTTTTACCTTTGAAAATTCTTTGAATCTCACATTCTTTTGGATTTCATCCAAAGTAACAGAACCTTCCTTACCATAAAGAAGGACATTCTTAGATTTGTAAAAGGATTTGGGTAATGAGCTCAACAAGAGTAGATTTTTTCCTCATCATTAATCTTCATCTCAATATTCTCCAGATCATTAATGATCTTGTAAAATTATGGAAACTATTCCACTATAGACTTGTTCCTTACCATCCAAAATGAGTAGAGGTGTTGTTTCAGGCACAACATGTGTTTCAAAGACTTGATCATATATAATATTCACGTTTTGCCCACATCGAAGCCATAATCTTCTCCATGGCGACTTCCCTTAGAAATTTATCCCCGAGGCATAAGATAATGAAACTTCTGGCTTTATCTACCATCTCGACCTTCTCTACTTGTGTTAAGCGTGCGGGCATCAACGTCTCGCCCTTTAATTCTTCAACACACTTCCCTTGAATTAAAAATTGCTTGCATATTCACTTTCTAAATTTCAAATTCGTTGTCTCCAAAAAAACCTCTTGATATTTCGTTTAAAACGCATGGTACTCACTTCTAAACAAAACCCCTTCGCTCAACATGCGCCACTTTTTGTGAATTTGAAAGGTTTAATTACAATAAAAAAATTTGATGTGTAGGAACAAAGAACAATGACAATCAAAATAAATAACCTCAAAATGAATTTCTTTTTCTTTTTCATTTAAAATTTTAAGACATATTTAAACAAAATAGAAAATAAAATTCACTCCCTTTTTTTCTTCTATTTCTTCAATTTCTCTCTATCTATTAGGGATAACATATAATTCTCCTAAAGATAAATAACAAATAAATATATAAATTTAACAATTAAGAACAAGACAAAATCAAATGACATTGCCCAAGTTAAATTATATATACCTATAAAAAGCAAAGCTTTTTAAAATATTAGATACTAGTAAAAATAGAAGTTTTTCTCTAATATTCATTAGATGCCACCAATGTAATAATATCAAAGGGATTTAGGAATTATCACCAAAAGGGAAAGGCAGAAGAACCTTCATACATACACACAAAGATACCTTATGCGGCTGCATACAAACTAGAAGTAGTCATCAGCATCAAAGGAGAAAGGAAGACATGTTTTTTTAATGGCAAAGAGGACATGTTGCATTCATTTCCAAAACAACACAAAACGGCTGATATATTAATTCCAAAAATATATATATTCCACTTCATACAATTAGTGTTTAAACCAGCTCCAACTTTGTTGTGACCGAATTCTTTCTTCTTGTGCTCATAGTAATCTTCAACCATAAAATGGAAAGAGCTCTATAAGTAATTTTAGAGATACCCTTTTCATTTTCATGGCATTTTCATCTTCTCAACAAATGTATCTCCCAATTGGGATTCTAATCATTGGAGTACCAGTAATTGCTTTTATATTTTTCTCTCTCACAATGTTAGGATGGTGCAAGATTACCAATCATGAATCAACTCTTCCTACAACAGGCATAACTTTTGATGAGAAACTTTCTGCTTGCATGAGTTTAGAGTCACACTCAATAACATTTATGTACAAGGAAGGTGAGGATGCAAAAGGCATAAACCAGACCGAATGTGTTATCTGTTTAACAGTCTTTCGAGAAGACGAAAGTGTTCGCAAGCTTCACACTTGCAAGCACATGTTTCATACATCTTGCATCGATAAGTGGCTTTGTTCTCGTTCTGGCTGTCCACTTTGTCGCATGCAGATTGACCAAATAACTTTGCCAAATTATTCAGTGGCAAATGAACAGATGATTGTGGACATTGTTGACTCTAGAATTTGAGAATATCATGGTTCATTGCAACTGATTACTGACATAGCTAGCTTCTTTCCTAAACTAGAAATTTTTTTTCATTGTTCCTCATATGTTTCGAAGATTTAATAAAAACTTCATATAATGAACTCATTCATGATCAGGTGTTTGTTTCTTTTGGATCATAGAAATTGTGCAGTGACAAATTAAAAATTTCTTTCAATTTATATTCAAGAGGTTCAACGTGTAACATTTAGCTTTACTCTCTACATAAATAAGATAGCTCGAAACCGGAAAATACAATGTGACTAAAACATATCCTGATTTTATAGACAATCACTATTTTCATGCTTCTTTGAAACGCTTTTCCATATATTCGTACAGATATCACATTTTTCTCAGGTTATCTAACCTAGCTTGTAGATCGTCATCTATTCCACCATCGTCGTTTCCTGTTGGTTCAGCCTGAGCAACCCTGTTCTTTGCGGCTGGTGCGGCGATTGAGGTTGATGCAGGTGTATTCACAAGCTGCGTGTTGAACAAAAGAAATATGTTACATCATTATCCAAACTTAGTTTTAGTTTATTGTTAACCTTTTTATTTTCTTGTAATAGAATGATTACAACTTACCTCAGAGTTGATATCGATTCCAATCTCATCAAGAACCTGATTCACAAGATCATCTGTCTCTTCCTCTTCTTCATCGCCTTCTAAAGCATCATCAATTGCATCTCCCATCACCTCAGAAACTAGTTCCATCTTCTCATTCTGCATTTCAAACTCTTGCATTATCTTCTGTAATGAAGGCATGTTCATCTGCCTATTCATTTGACCCATTGCTTTCGTCACTCCTTTCATAGCTTCCCCCATCGCTTGAGTAGATTTAAGAGTCTACAGTTGTTCTCAGAAAGTCAGTCTTAAAAGCTATAATAAATCAATCAATCTAACCGATTACAGATTACAAATTATAAATCAAACAAGATTCTTGCAGTATGCATTGGAATTACCATAGTATGAATGACCATGACAATAATATATGCCATGAAGCACTAATCCAGACATGAATACCAAACACGACACTGACACGTCAACATTGGTAATAATTTAAGAAATTGAATTAATCGAATATAATCACATGAGTCACTGTCGGATACCGACACATGTTGGACACCTGACACGCCTTCAATCATAAGCATCGGTGCTACAAATTATAAATGCATCACATTTAGTACAACATTAAAGACATTATTTCATCCCAAGGCTCAACATATCTGCTAACTTCCTAGGAGTTCGCTAAGCATGAAAAAAACGTCGAAGTTAAGTGATGACCTACAAATAAAACACAATGTTTTACAAAACAAACCTGAATTCTCAAAGAAACACCCTGAAGTTGTGATTTAAGCTTGTAGAACTTTTCAATCTGATGGCGAGTTCTAATAAGATCCTTGGCCATAACCCTCACAGCACCCTAACAAATTGAACCCAAACTCAGAAACTACTCAAACCAGACCAAACACATTATATACCAATTCAAACAACACCACAGTTCTTAAAAGCAATAAACTTCTCATCAGATATAAACCATTTAAGAATTCCATATAATAACATGTCACTTTCGTCATCAGGTATCCATGTTTGCATCAGTATTTCATAGCATATTTTACTGTCATGCTCATTCATTAAATATGCTACGAAACACCGATGCAAACACGAATACCATACACGACATTGACACTGACACGTCAACATTGGTAATATATATAATGACAATAGAAGGTAGTGGAGTATTAGTTACCATTTGTCCTTGTTTGGCACTCTTCTTAATCTCTGCAATCAATTTCTTTTCTTGAGACTGCAAGCCTTGTCTTTCTCTTTCAATTTCTCTAATAGACTTATCTAGCATCCTTTTATTTTCCCTCAAAAGCTCTATTACCATCACAATCACATAAACACAAAAACACAAAAAAACAAAACGACCCATCAACGAAAAAACCTAGTTTCTAATCAAAGACGCAATTTTTACAAACTGGGATGTTAAATAAACACCAACCCAGTATTAAATTATTGTTTTTTTTTACAATTCAATCAACATGAAGAAACAGAACGAAAATTACCAATTTGATTAAAAGTGAAAATTGGAACATGAAAGGGAAAAGGGGAGAATTACCAGCAGGAGTCTTTCTACTGCCAAACAGAAAACTCATAATGCCTCACCGTTTTGATTTTCCCCTTCTTTCTGCACTGCACTGCACTGCACTTTCAATTTTGTTTGGAATAACTCTACGCTCCTTCTCACTCAATTTACTATTTTGGCTGGCTAATTGTCCTTGTGTTAAAATTAATTTAAAATTTTAAGGGTTAATTAATTGTAATTTGATACTCTATTTTATTTTTATTTTTTAAGTTTTGATTCTTCAATTTTAAAATTTAGTGTTTTAATTGAGATTAAAATGTACTACTCTGATAATGTAAGGTAATTATACAGATACAATCAATCAAAGTTTTTATATTTGATATGTTATATCAGTATTTTAAAAATAAATATTGTTTTAGATTGGGTCAATGGTTAGGCACGGTCCAATCCACTCCTTTGTCCAAGACGGTCCAAAAGTATTGGTCCAAACAACTTTGGCTAACAGAGGGCACATTTCTCTTCTACCAGACAATTGGGGACTTGTGGTTGAGTGACCCTAGGGAGGACAAGACCACGACTACCCGTGACTGTGTCCCTGCTCGCAACAACGACTAGTTTCGGGAATCTTTGCCCATGACAACGACTAGTTTCAGACATCTCTTTCCAGGATCATGAGCACGAGCTGCTCGTTTCTACTTTCACGCGGAAATCTTGGCAGTTACCTTTTTTTGGGTCTAATATCCAGACCCAAAAATAAGAACCAATGGCCAAGCGTCGGGGGCATTATATAAATCCTCGCACTTGTGAGGGTCGGGTATTCAATATTTAATCCTAAAATCATTGTTTCTCTCAAGTATCTTTTTGCACTCTTAATTACCTGAACGTCAGGATGCCTTGTAGATACACCCTTTCCACCGTGATTCCAGTATTACAGACACAGATATCGACCCGTTACATATTCTAATCACAGGTAAGATCAGTGGCGTCGTCTTTGGAAACTCTATTTTCCCCCGTCTTTCTTTCCCCTAAAACCAAATATCAAAGCAACATTTCAAGACTCCAATCATGGCTGATCCAGATGACGACAACCTTCCTCATAAAATTATCATCTCGCCTGTCCATAAAACAGACGACAATGCAGAAATGCCATTTCTCGAAAGCATTCCTCTGAAGAGAGACGATTGCACCGCGTCTCCCTCCTCCAACGAGGTTGTGATACGGTGGCAGAATCGGGAACTGTTTTGAAATACTGGTTTGTGTTTTGCGTTTGTGTTTGCAAAATGTCGCGGTAAGCAAGAGTCGCCACCGACTTTTATTTTATCCAACTGGAAAGGAAAAAAGCACAGAAAAATTCCTTTTTCGAGATTTTGAGTACGAGGGGTAGATTATAGAAAGGGAAGGTATTAGCACCCTTTCTATCTGTGGTTTTCCACGGGCTCTTAGGTACTTGCTCATCATTTTTTTAAAATTGCTTCTGTGTTTGTGTGTTTTGAAAAGTTTGTTGTTTTACTTCGATTTAACCCTTGCTTCTGTCTTCAAGAGTGTAATGAAGTGTTTTTGAAAACTTTGTTTGAAAAGTATTTGGTGTGAAAAAAAGATTGTTTTGAGCAAGTACATACTAGCATCTACCTACTCAAAAAAAAAAGAATTGTTCTATGTTCGTTTCCTTTAGACAGCGCTATCCTACTATTAGTGAGTAGGTAGCACCATCGTTGGAATTTTAAGGGTCAATTCGAAAAGGGTCGTACGATCACTAAAGCAATGTTAGGACGTCTTAGTAATAACCCTAATGTCTTAAGATCAATATTCGAGGCAACAATTCCGAGGCAACCTTTCCGAGGAAACTTTGATCTTTGAGACAAAAGAGAGACCACTAAAATATCCTATACTCAACGACCGTTTACCGAAGGCAACCAAAGTGAGAGTATACCCTAGGAGTGCGCATGTGCTAGTGATTCAATTTCAAGTTTATATCTTTGCACATTTAGGGTTTGCTAACTGTTTTAAAGTTAATCATACATTCTTGTCATGCATCCACAACTGAGGTTATCCCTCTGAGACGACAAATCTCCTGACAGAGTATCTCTTCCCCACAGAGTATTTCTCTCACCAGTTTATCTCCAAGCAGAGTTCATCTATCACCAAGGATGGAAGACCATCCCCATTGGAGTTTATTTCTTCCACAAACAGAAACTTTATCCCCAGCAGAGTCGCCAGTTCTGTGATACGGTGGCCAGAACTGGCGACTCTGCTGGGGACTAAATAAGTGGGGTATACCTTAGGAATAGTTCATCACATTGCTTCTATTGTTTGATTTGATTGCTTTATCTTTGTGGGCTTTGTATTGGAGTTACTATAGATCCTAACTCGGATATGGGGGGCACCTTTTAGGTAAGTAGCAATAAACTGTGAGGGAATTGTACGGTGTAGACCGATACGGTTGAAGCAGTAGCTACGTTGATGTGGCACATTGGTTGGTACCGGTATCCCTCGTGGAGGAGCGAGGAGAACACGGGGCTGCTATATGGGTCGTTAAGCATCAACTGACCTTAGAACCTATAATTAACCAACTTGGCCATAGGAAGTAGTGAGATAGCCGACCTCGGTATAGAGCTGAGAACTGGTTGATACTCGATACTACACTCATTGAGACCATACTCTCGAGATAGTTCCAGCCGCAAGAAAAGATTGCGTAAGCTGAAACCATGACCGATGGAGGATGGTCAGTGATATTGAGAACCTCTAGAACCCGGTTACTATTATTAGGACAGGTTGAACCAACTGAACTTCAAGAGGGTAGTGCCTAGACCCCATGCAAGCCTGAAACTTAAGGGCTCTTGTGTGACTTGTTTGCCTTTACCATGTTTGTTACTTGCTATACCTGTTGTGTGTTTTATCATGACATCATGCATCATGACATAGCATGCATACTTCATTGTACTAACCATTTCAAAGACCGAGGGAATTTACTTTTGCTCTGTTTTTCAAATTATGGCTTCAGTACACCGAAATACCATTCGAGTTAACTTCGTGCAAATGCCTGCTCAACTCAGAGAGTTAGTCTCAAAGGTTCCTGATACTTCTTCATTCGTTAGAAGACATGGTCATCTCCTTAGCTTGGTCACTTCAAAGTTGGATGAGCAGATGATGAGTGTGCTTTTCCAGTTCTTTGATCTGGTATATCATTGTTTCACCTTCCCGGATTATCAGCTAGTTCCTACTTTGGAGGAGTTTTCTGACTTACTTGGCATATCTATTCTCGAGCAGACACCCTTCACAGGTTTAGAAGAGGCTCCTAGGCCAGAGGATATTGCTTTAGCCCTACATCTAAAAAGGGTTGATGTAGTATCCAACTGGGAGACACAGAGCGGGGTTAAAGGTTTCTTGGCCAAGTTTCTAATGGATCAAGCTCAACAGTTCTGGGATAACTTGGACTTTCAAGCTTTTGAAGACATTTTGGCTTTGTTGTACCCCAATTTTTGACCTAAGATCCCATTTTTATTTTTGCATTTTTTAAAGATAAGTCAAGGTCACGAAATACAGTCGGTTTTAATCTCTCACCTTCGAGCTTTGACTATGCGAAGATTGTCAAGTGTTTTGAACATTTTTAGCCTATGTATCACTAATTTCTAATCGCATACAAAGGTGTATGTTCATGTTTTCTTTTGTGTCATGTGCAGAGACATGTCTGAATCAAGAGCATCAGATGTCGCGCCTCAATTAAGGTTTTGATTCTCCCAAGCCAGAAGTACGGTTGATTATGGATTCTCGAAGACTGATTCATCAAGACTGTTAAAAGTGATTCGACACTATGCGGGAAAGTAGCGAGAAAATATTTCAAGTTTTCACCTTTTACCGATCATTTTATGAATCTGCGCTTCGCGTAGATTATGACGGTATGCTCGCTTTATTTTTTTCGGTACAGTTCGAAGTCTCGTTTTAACCTTAAACGTCTGTTTAGTCTGATATTTTCATTATTATTTTATTTTTGATTTTTGACTTCTTGAATATTTTTTCTTTAATCTTTGTGACATGCAGATTATTTTAATGTGTTCATTTTATTTTTTCGGATAAATTTCCGTCCGTTCTTTTATCGTTTTCGATCATTTTGGGTCTTTATTTTTTATTCATAAAATATTCAAAAAAATCATTTTAAATTGAGTTATTTTTTATAATTTCAGGTTTTATTTTATTTTTGTCATTCATGGACTTTTTGGTCACAAAAAATATTAATTAGGCTTCGCTTAATTCTCATTGGTCGATAGCATAGTTTGCGGATTGATAGAGATTGAATTCTCATTGGTCGAAAGCATGGTTTGCGGATTGATAGAGATTGGATTTATATTGAACGGCTTGGATTTATTTTGAAATCATAATATTTCTATTCTTTTTCTATTTAAAGGCTTCATTTTTTTTCTTTGCAAAGAGGGAACAACACAAAAAGTTAACAATAATCTCTTTCTCTCAACCTTCCATTCCCATTCCCATTCCCGTTCCCTATCCCATCACAATGCAACCACAAGTTTCTAACCTCAATCCAAACGCTCAACCCTTCTATCCACAACACAACCTTGTAGTAGTAACACCTAAAACTCAATCCAGTGTTTATGTACCAAAACAAACAAAAAAAAACAACAACACAGTAAGACTCCCCCCTCTCTCCATTGCACAATAGCTACTCCAAACCTCACCTAACTTCCATTTCACCGCCACTGATTAATCCCAAGCCCTATTCAAGAGAGCCCAATCCACACGAGCCCATGGCCTCTTTGCCCTTATATCAGAAACAAGTTGCATCGGAGTACCTCTGAACTCATCTTCAACAAAGCTAAAACCTCACCGAAAAAACGCAGGTAAAATTGACCGTCATCGGAACTAAGACCTTCAGAATCAGTGACGAATCCCAGGAAGTCCATTGGGAGAATGTCGTCTACTTCGCTGGAAGTGACACGCGCCTACTCAGCACACTGCAATTGATCTTGATTATTACAGTACAATTGAAGAGCTTATAGAAGTGGATCCTGAAAGGTTAAAGGAGGCACTGGCTGCACTAGGACTTAAAACTGGCGGCACTGTTCAGCAACGTGCAGAGAGGCTCTTCCTCACCAAGCATACACCTCTTGAAAAGTTGGACAAGAGGCATTTTATCAAGAGGGCACGGGGTTTAGAAAATAATGGGGTGGCTGCTGCTCCGCAAGAAGGAAATTTAAAACAAGAAAATTTGAAAGAAGTTGCATAAATGGAGCCCTGCACTGACCATCTCTAAGGTATTGCTTTCTATCTGCTCACTGCTGACTGATCCAAATCCTGATGACCCTCTTGTACCGGAGATTGCTCACATATACCATACAACAAAGACCATCCTCATCTTCTTCTCTTTTTCTTCGTCGATTCTCGATTCAAAACTCTTCAATCGATTCACTCTTCAAACAATTCAACCATTCCAATTCATCAATGGATTCATTCGAACAATCACACACTTTGCAAGAATCCAATCATAAAAAAAACGCCGCAAAATCGGCGACACCACCGCCGATCAAAACTCCCCCACTCTCATGCGGTGGAGATCTGAATCCGACCAGAACAACTACTCAAAAAAAAATAATCGAAGCTCTCAGCCGGATCAACTCTCCAACAACCACCACCAAACCTAGAGCCGCTTCTCAAGTCCGCCACCCACCTTCTTCTAACTTCCGTCAACATAACCCTCTATTTCACTGGCTTCCCCTTTTGTTTTATCATTAGTTTATTTTTTTTCTTTTTCTTTTCAACATTATTGTTATAATTATTAGTGTATATTTTATTTTTATTATTGTTATAATTATTAGTGAATCAAGCTTTAATTAGGATTGGGCTACTGGGCCCTAACTTTTACTTACAAGCCCATTTTCATTTTTCTACTCTTGCACCACTATTTCCATGCTTACACCCCCTCATTTCTTTTGTTTTATTTCTTTTAATTAATTATTATGAGAACACGTGGTAACGGATAGATAGTTAGACTTTATCATGTAAATAATGCAAGTTTTCTATCATTTCATTTTTATCCCTCTTATGCTACTAACGCGTTTGTTACTGTGAAGGTTTCCAAAAAAATCGTTTCAAGTATTCATTCTCACATAGCGCATCCACAATTCTCATATTTCTCCCTTTTTACCTTTTATTGTATTTTATTATTTTGATTTAATATTTGATACTGTAAATATATACTTATATATAATATTTTGACTGTATATTTTACTTGTAAATAAATTCAGGTTTCTTAAAAATATTATTTTCATCGCATTGTGATTTTATTTTAATTCCAACTAACTTCTGAAAAATTGTGCGGACGCACATAAGTTTTCCGTGCTGTTGGATTTTGTCGGTATATCTCTTGTGATACAGGGATTCTTATCTGACACCGCGAGCTTTATCCACCGCCTTTGCGCTTCACCCGATGCTTGGAGTATTATCTCACATTAGGTTTTTTTTTTATGATGCTGTCGGCTTGTGATTTATTTTCACCTAAGGTTTGATATACTCTTAGCTTATTTATCCGTCTGTGGTTTTAACTCCAAGGGAAAGATTTAAATTTGTTGACTTCATGTCATCAAAATATCTAATACGATCAAGCGAATGCCCTCATTCATGTTTTTCCTATTTACTGTTTTTTTCCAAAATTTAGTCGATTTTCCTAAAAAGATTCAAATTTCAAACTCACACCTTTTTAAGTCAAAACTTCGACACTAGGTCGTCGTATCTTCAAAATCTCGCCAACACTTATTTTTAACCAAACAAACCATTTTAATCAAACAAACAATTTTAACCAAAAACAGATATTTCAAAAGGTTCCTGCGGAGTACCGCAGATGCATTGGGTGCTAGTACCTTCCCATTGTATAACCAACCCCCGAACTCTCGATCTCTTTTCAAAACGCATTGTATTTTTATTACTTTTAAGTATTATTTTACATTGCATATTTTAGGGTTTTATTTCGCTCTTTTCCCTTTTCCCTTGGAAATAATAAAGCGCGGTGGCGACTCTTGCTTTTGTGAGTCAAGTTAATTAATAGTTTGATCTCTGATTTTCACCGCTACAGAATTGGCGACTCTGCTGGGGACAGATTGACCTCTTGCTGGTCCATCCCTAAGTGGGTTAAGCCTAATTTGTTTTATCTGTTTTATCATTATTTGATTGTTTGATTATATGTATATATTATGATTATTTGGGTGTTGATAATATTTACAAAGGACAAGTCCTATACCCGGACTAAGCTACACTTAGGAATAGGACGGGCGGTATAGTCATGTTAACTTTGAGGGAGTAATCCCGAAGAAGGAGGCATGAGATCCCCCACTCAGTGGAAGGCCCTTTTAAACGTAATATTTGTTTACCGAGTAATCGGGAAGACATTATTATTTTCTACCTGGGAGCCAGAGAAGCTGGGAACCGTAGAACCCTAACCCATCTTGGCCTTTTAGGTGTAGCGCGGAGATTATAACGGAGTAATCCGGAAGTAATTGTTACGCGATGCTACGCTCGGATGAGTTTCTCTTGAGAATATTGCTGATTATTGAGTAATCAAGACGTTGGTAATATCCGAAGGAGGAATGTAAACTCCGGGAACTCTTAGAACCTTGTTCTACAGGTGTGATTAAACCGTTAGTACATACCTTGGGGGTGTTCCTTACCTTGACTCCATGCTCGTGACGTTGAACCTTTCGACTTTATTTGTTACCTTGCTTGTGGTTGTTGCATAGCCATGCAACCATGCATCCATAAAACCCTTTTCACTTGACTTTGAAGGAATTTGGAGGTCTTTCTTTGTAAACATCACAAGTTTTGTCAAGCTCAATGGATCTTGGGTGTTGATAGGGCGAAAACCCTAATCCACCAAAATGGATGGTTGATCTTGATGATAACTTGATCAATGTTTGGAGCCAATTTAAAATTCATCTTCTATCTTCATACTTTGATGTTTACAACTTAATATCTTGAGTTCCTTGAAAATCAAATAAAAACTCTCTTTTGCATATCATACTTCATTCTACATTTTTTGTTTCACTTTCAAGGGTCATTTCCGAGTCTTAATTTTTTCCTTTGGTCTCATCAGTACAACACTCACGCTAAGAGGACAATGGAGAATATCAAGCAAGAGGTTTCTGAACTCCGTAGAGAGATGACTATTTTGAAAGCTAGTATGGAGCACTTAACTGGTTTGGTTGAAATTCTGGTTGCCGCCCAAGTCAATCTTTCTAGGAGGGAGGAAGCGATGATAAAAGTCTTCACTGAAACTCTAAAATCATTCTCTCATGAGAAGGTGATGGTTAATGCACCTAATGACTTTCCTGACAAGGTGAATGTGGGAGTGCGTCTAGAAGAAGATGTCGGAAAGGGATGTTTATATGAAGACGGTAGCTCAGCTAATAGTGTGAAGAAGTTTGATAATAAATTTTCCAAGAAGAGAACCATAGGAAGAAATAGTCATCGTCAGAATCATCATGTTTCTCTTATTCATCAATAGAATCAGCAAGTTCCTAATCAGAGGAAAACCCAGTTTGATCCAATTCCAATTACCTATACAGAGTTGTTCCCTATCCTGATGCAGAGGAATTTGGTTCAGACCCGACCTCCACCGAAGGTTCCTGAGAAGATACATTGGTACTACAAAGCTGATTTGGCTTGTACCTTTCATCAAGGTGCTCCTGGGCATGACTTGGAAGGTTGCTTTGCTTTGAAGATTGAGGTTCAGAAGTTGGTCAGAAGTGGTATCTTGTCATTCAAGGACGTTGGTTTTGAAATTCAAATCAAGCACGTGCCTAAGGGTAAACACGATTGATGGTCACTTTGAGTTTTGAAATATGTTTTCGGTGATTCAAGTCCAGATGGAAAGCCTTCCCAGATCATTAACTTATTTATGCTTTTTGTAATTTTTCTTGTTTATCAAAACATTGTTTGCATGTAAGAACTTGTTTGCATCTGAATGATTATCTTAATACAATGAGTATGTTTGTCTTGAAGAAATTCATTCGTTTCACTCATGTTTGTTTTCAAATTTTAAATTGCTTTTGCACTATGATACCAAATTGTTGCTCATTCTCTTGCCTAGGCAGAGATTGAAGGGAGGATGATGATCTAAAGAACACAAAATCTCTGTTTGTTTGCTTTTGGATAAAATCTTGCTGATGATGTACAGGCATTGTTTCAAATCCCTAAACACCGGAGATATAAGGAAGATAATCCCTTGCTAACCCCTTTTGAGCCTTGAAGTAGAAGTTTCTTTTCTATACAAAAAAACCTTGAATTTTAACCTGGGGCAGGGTGGTTTTTAGTTAATCTGACTGAGTGTTCGAAATTCATAAGGAAGATGTTTTTTGAAGAGAAACTACGAGGGCTATCTTTCATGTATAATGAAGCCAGAAGATGTGGAATCACAATGTTATCCCTCATTCATCAAGAAACGAGGCAATCACAATCCTCTCAACAAGCAAAGACAAGCTAATGTCACACATTTTGTTCAAAAAGTCAAAAATCAAGAAAAAGAAAAGCCTACTAAGTCAAAAAAAAAAACATGAAAACGTGTGACTTAGGAAAAATTAAGGCATCCCGGTGGACTATCAATTCAAAAGAATTAGTTCAGGCAAAAGTTAGGGAAAACAAAAATTGCAAAGAAAAGACTACAAAGAAAAGTCCTCAACAAAGAACAAATTGGTGACTACAAACACAAAGACATAAGGGTGGTTTCTACTCCGAAAGCCTCGTCGTTTCCTTGACCGTCACAAAATCCTTTTGAGAGATGAACACTCATGTTGAATTAACTGAACATAGGGTTGGAGAACATCATGAAGAATGGGTGGGCACCAAATATTTTGAGCCTTAAAATCTTTTTTCTAAAAACCATGAACCAGACCACGTTACAACCTTCAAAAGTCCTAATTGAAGCAAGGTTATTTTGAAAGCACACTTCAATGAGATAGTGTTCCTGACTCCCATGAATGTTCTAAATAGTTATGTTGGTAACATATGTTTTTCCTATACAAAAATAAATGGTGTTTTAACTCGCAAAATTTGTGTGATATCTTTCAAAATCTTCAAGACTTACATAACTGTTGCATTAGAATTTTCATTCTCATTGTAAACTTTTTCTAACTGTAAAACATTTGTTTGATATCAAGGAAGCTCACATAAGCACCAGTGATGAGTTTATTCTTTTAAGGCCTGAAACTATGTTGAGTAATTGGCGGATCACATCAAGAAAAAAATCATATCCATGGGCATGTCACCTGAAGACCGTAAGCACGAACATGTTGCTTCTCCCAGTTAATGCTTTCCCAACTTGTTTACTCTTTTGGGGCAGAATTTGAAGACTTTGTTGTGCCAACTACAGTCAATCCGGGGCAATCACGTTGAGATTTGATGAATCTCTCTAAGAGTTTGAAGACACCAGAGCATGGTGAATGCCAGGTCTTTTGTAAAATCCTCTTGAGACGATTTCTCCTCATCATCCATATAGCTTGGGGCATTTTAGAAGGGAAGTTATTCGCAAGAATCGTCGAGCATCACGCAGCTTATCAACAATAAGCTTGGGGCATCCAAATTTAATCCCAGGGGGCAATCCAGATTTGTCAAGATATGTTTTTCATACATTATCAGAGGGTGGTGTTCCCAATATCTCTAGCTAAGCATGACTTTTTCCAGCCGAAACATTGTTCGTGTTGTCATCCTTTCAAGGGATCGTTAGTGATAGAAGACTGAACTTTGGG